CACACACACACACACACACACACACACACACATACACACCCATACACGCACATAATATGTAATGCGTATACATGTATAGGCCTAGCCTAGGAGTGTGAAATAGAAGTTGAAATCGTAACATCTCTGATTTCTTTCGTGCTGAACAGTCGTTGTCCATTGTAGAAGAGTAAAAAAATAGCCTTGTCTGTATGCCTACTCTTTCTTGAATTCCTAAAGTAATCTTGCGGTACTTTTAGCTTCTTTTTGTTTTTTGAAACCTCATTTGATTTTTTATTTTTTGGGGGTCTTAGTTTTTGTTTTTGGGGGTTAAATTCATTTGTAAAAATCGCATTCAACTTCTGTGTACGTTTAAAGGGATGTCGGGATTGGGGGTGAGGAGTGATCCACTGTCCCCCCCCCTAACTCTTTATGTTTTATAACTCTTTATATTTAATAGCTTTATGGTTAATAACTCTTTATGTTTAATAACTCTTTACGTTCAATAACTCTTTATGTTCAATAACTCTTTATGTTTAATAATTTTGTATGTTTAATAATTTTGTATGTTTAATAATTTTGTATGTTTAATAACTACTCTGTATGTTTAATAACTACTCTGTATGTTTAATAACTCTGTATGTTTAATAACTCTGTATGTTTAATAACTCTGTATGTTTAATAACTCTGTATGTTTAATAACTCTGTATGTTTAATAACTCTGTATGTTTAATAACTCTGTATGTTTAATAACTACTCTGTATGTTTAATAACTCTGTATGTTTAATATTGGTCTTTAAAAAAGACCCCCCCCCCGCTTCTCTAACAAAGAAAAACGCTCAAACTGTTTTCCAATTAAGAAACAAACTTGTTTACCTTTCTTTTGATTGAAGTTTGAGGTGGTTAAAAAAAATTACTTCCCTAGCACCCCCCTCCCCCTGTCCTTTTTCTCTTTTCCAACCTCCCCGTACACTTATTTATTTATTTTTCAAAGTGCCCACTTCCTCCGCTCCCTCCACTCCCCCCTCCCCCCGCTCCTCTCTCTCCCTCCGCTCCCTCCACCCCCCTTCCCTCCTCTCGTGTGGCATGATGTGAGCTAACTCTTTGACGGCAGTTGTCAGCACCGTCTTGGCGCTCTGCTCTGCTGTAAGAAAACAAATCGAGTCATAGATGCTGATCACACGCACCTCTCTCACTACCTCTGACAAAATTACAAAGTTCTAGCCGGCATTTTTGGCCGTTTTTAGGCCGCTACCCCAGAATTACAAATTTATATCTGCAGGGTACCTACTTTGGAGACATTTGAGGTTAGAAATTTTGAGTCTCAGAACATGTCAAGTTTTTTGGAATGGAATTCTTTGAATATCTTTATAAACGACTCGGAATAATCTTACGATTTTGATAGAGCAGGTTGGATATTTAGTTCATTATTTCATGGTCTTAATAATTCAAAACGACTAGAAACGCAAGATTGAACTTTGTAATTCTGAAGTAGCGAGTTACTAAGAACATGAGGTCAGAAAGCAAATTTTAATTATGGTCTGTCTGCTCCATCAAAATCGTCGTTATCAAGATATTTAACCCTATCCTTACGCCCTGGGGTCATTTCATACCCCGGGGTTGTATTCTTCACATTTTAGAATACTTTTAGTGCGAAGATCTCTTTGAAACTTTCAGTATTTTTCAAAAAATCATTTTGACAGACTGCTAAGCAAAGCGTACGGATCAGACTAACGAGTAAATTTCCTCTTTGAAAAGTGGTGACACAGAGTTCCCCACGTCCTATGGATACGATAGTAAAATCTGACGTACGGATAGGGTTAAAGAATTGTTTTCGAAAAAGCTTGACATATTATTATTATTATTATTATTATTATTATTA